CCCCCCCCCCCCCCCCAAGTCTTGCTGGGCTGGGTGTTGTTGTTTTTTTTTGTAAAAGTTTTTTATTTTTATTTTTTAGACATCTCTTCACATGGGCAACATGATTCCAGATTACAACATTTATACATAGTCATAATTAGATTTTCAACTTTCTTATTTAATATCACATCATTTTATTATCCACCCTGCTAATCTTTAAATAAGTTTCCATTTCACATTTCAATTCATTAATTCAGTTCCAAAATCATTTCATCCTTGCAATATACTTCCAATTCTTTATCCCCTATTATTTCCATTTTCAGCTTACCACCTATTTTATTTTACATCGTACGTTGTTACGTTCATTAACTTTCTCAAGACCAACACATAGTAAACAATAGAAAAAGAGTAAAAATAAAGTAAAGTTTAAATTTAAAGTTTTTTTAAGTTTTAAAGTTTAAAATCCACATGGTATATCCCTCAATCTACAATATAGCTTATATTTATTCAAAAAACATTCATATAACCCTTTCCTATTTTTTCTGGGCTGGGTGTTAAGAATCCAACACCCCCAATCTCGAGTAGACTGGCCTCCAAGTTGCCCCCAGAGGGTAATTTGCCAAGACACTTTCCATCAATCCTCGTGCAAGGTTCGGCTCCCGGCGGGATTGCATGAACTCATACATTGATTTCTCATTTTGATAAAGCCGACGCGATAATCCCAGCAGAAGCCGTTGATTGGCATTTCCTAACGCCCCGATCCTGGGGCTTGGCGGGGCCCAAGAAGTTTCAAAGGGGTTCGCTTCTGACTATCGGCTCTCCCATTTTAATGTTACGCAGTTAAGAGGCGGCTGCCGGCTGTAGAAGGGAATTAGACCTGCTCCCAGGTGGATGTGGGCCTTTGCTGATCCTGCCTTGGGAGATGTAAATGGAGCTGCCAGATCCAGATCCAGTCTACCTTCGTTGGCATGGAACAGCTCCAAGAGAGCTTTGCTTGCCAGAAAATACCTTGCTGGCTCGTAAGAAGGAGAACAGCTGGATCCCATGGCTTATCAGTCTGTTCTTTTTATTTGATGAGGGCATTTAACTCTTTTTAGGTCTGTGATGACCCAGGGTGGGATACAAAATAAACACAGTCACCAAAAACCAGGTGAAGCCCCTTTTATTCCTTCACTTTGCTTCCAAGCTCCAAATATCTTTGATGGAGGACAAACAAACTCCCACACAAACAGTTACAAGGAGGAGGAAATGCCGTTTAAATTATAAAGAGTAAAAAACAATACAAACCAGGCAAGATAAGGGCTTGAAAGCATTCACAGATATCAGAACACACACTGGGAAGGACACCAAACTCAGAGAGGAACCATAAACTAGAGATATTTCCACGCTTTGTTTCCAGCACCGGCCCGTACGCAGGTCTGTCCTCTTATCCAGTTGTCACAGCTGCAGCCCATGAAGAGGATCAAGGCCCTCTCCTCCCGAGGAGACCACATCTCTCCCTTATCCTCTCCTCCCTGCGTGCCCTAGGATGGAGAGGGGATGGGCCTGGGTCCTCCCCTGACTGCCCAGTTGGCCTCTTCCCCTCCCCAGCCTCCTCCACAACCTCCGGAGCCCCACTTCCACTCCCTGTCGGCTGTTCCTCCTCTCCCTCAGAGTCAGTCTCCACCAGGGCCATGACAAGGTTTTTCTATATGCAGGTAAGTCCTCGAGTTACGACCGCAGCTGAGCCCAAAATTTCCGTTGCTAAGGGAAGCAGTGAATGGAGACAGGTGAACAATATATAAGAGCTTTCTTATGAAGCTTTTGCAAAAGGGAATTCTGCTCATGGGCAGAAGACATGGTTCCCAGGAAGGCTGGGGTTTATATACAGGTTCAAATATACAGTCTCTGCCCCTTTTCGGGTTCACAATCTATCCAGCTACGTATCCAGCTACGCAACACCCCTGTTATTGTAGCGTACCATCTGTTTACTCGCCCTGTTTACCTGTTTCCATTTCCAGTAATCGCCATCATTAACGTGACCCTGGACAGCGTAACCTGCCAAATATATAACCGTTATACAAAACAATAGAGAATTCTCACATAATATTCCAATAAATTATCTTAGGTTAAGACAGAGGTTAAAAATGGCCGCATCATTGCTTTATATTTTCACAGGTATCATTTTACATATCACAGTTTCCTTGCCACAAGCTGTGGAGTGGATTGCTGCCATTTGGTAAGCGAGTCACAAGGCTGTTAAGCAAATCTGGTTTCCCCCGTCGACTTTGCTCATCAGGAGGCCGCAAAAGGGGATCACGTGACCTCTGGCACACTGCGGTCATCATAAATATGAGTCAGTTGCCTAAGTGTGGCGAGAAAAGTCATAAAACGGGGGCCAAACTCACCAAATTTCTCACTTAGTGACCTAAACTTTAGGCTCAATTGTGTCGTAAGTCCAGGACCACCCGTATTCAGTGGCAACCTGCATTCTCTTGTTTGAGGCAAAGAAACAGGACCGAAAGCCAAAACACCAGGCGTTGTTTCCTCTTTAGGGACTAGTGGATTGTCTTCCTATTTAAGCATGCAGGACGGGGCAGATTGTAATCCTCCCTCCCGCCCACTTCAACATTTACAGCCCCTTCTCTTGCTTTGCAGGGTGATGGTGTATGACCTCCGCAGGAGCGAGCCTGTCTCCTCACTTCACGGCCATCAGTTGGGGGTCTCGGGGGTGCAGATGGACGACTGGAAGGTGGTCAGCGGAGGCGAGGAAGGGCTGGTCTGCGTGTGGGACCAGCGCATGGGTAGCAAGCTCTGGGAAATGCGTGCCAGGTGAGACCCTGCCTGCTTAAACTGATTGGCAGAGCTGGAAGGGACCCTGGAGGTCATCTAGTCCAACTCCCTGCCCAAGCATGAGCCCCTACACGATTTCTGACAAAAATGGCAGTCCAGCCTCTTCTTCAAAGCCTCCAGGGATGAAGCTCCCACAACTTCTGTTCCACGGGTTGGTTGTTCTCGTTGTCAGAAAGTTTCTCCTTATTTCCTGGTTGACTCTCTCCTTCCCAGGCAGTCTTCCAGTGCCAGTGGGAGAAGTTGGATTAGTTTAACGGCCACAGGATCCGCTTAGCAACCAAGGCAAAAACTCATGAGATTGAAGGTGACTCAGTTAACAACTGCGTCACTCAGGGATGAAAGTTCTGTTCCCAGTTGTGGTCGTAAGTTGAGGACTCCCTGTACTTCTGTAAGATGCAGCTGGAGCAAGGAAGAACTGCAATAGAAGAAATTTCCCTTCCTTCCCCTTCGTCCTCCTCCTCCTCCTCTTCCTCCTTCTTCCACTTATCCTTCACTTTCCTCCTCCCCCTCCTCCTCCTTCTTTCTTCCTTATTCCTTCACCTCCTCTTCCTCCTCCTTCCTTCCTTCTTCCTTCTCTTCCTCCTGCTCCTCTTCCTCCTCCTTCCTTCTTCTTCCTTCTCCTCCTCTTCCTCCTCCTCTTATTCCATTTCTTCCCGCTGCAGCTGCATTTCAGAAAGCGTCCACTTGAGGGCGCTCAAAACTATTTTTCTGCTTTTAGAAACACCGTTTTCTGCTGTCTCCTCTCTCTGTTTTCTTGCCCGACTTTACAAAGCCAGCCCGTCTCGTGTTCGCTTCGAGAGGCATTACTAGCAAACCGTATTTTCCCCCGCGGGTCAGCCTTACTTAGGCAGGATGGAACATCCTCCAGGCCCCGGGGGAGAAGTTCAAAAAGGAAAAAAAATCAGAGGGGCGTTGAGGTTTTCATACATGCAAGTCACCCTCAACTTACAACCACAACCGAGCCCGAAATTTCTGTTGCTAAGCGAGGCAGTTGCTAAGCAGTTTCTCTCCGTTTTAGGACATTTCTTGCCACCATTGTTGAATCAATCACTGTGGTGGTTAAGTTAACAACCATCAGGGATGGGGACAATTAACGAGTGGAACAGAAGTCGCCTTCAGAAATCATTGGTGCTTCATCATTGGAGGTTTTTAAGAAGACAGTGTGGACAGTCACTTGTCTGAAATGGTAAATGGTTTCCTGCTTGGGGTTAGGCTAGAAGACCTCCAAGGTCCCTTTCAGCTTCTATTCTATTACTATTACTATTTCTATTCTTATTCCTATATTCTATTCTAATTCTACTCTACTGTCACTTTTTTCCCAGGCACCCAGTTCGCCACCTCCTGTTCAACTCCCACAGTCTCATCACGGCCAACGTCCCCAATGAAAAAACTCCCCGAGGTGCCAGCATCACGGACGACGATTTGACCGCTCACCGAAGGTGAGAACTGACCACTCCCAGTGGTACTTTGATCTAAACCGGCAGGAGGCGCCCTGTGACATCACTCTCTCAGTGTCGTTAGACTACAATCCCCAGCAGTCTCCGCTAGGCAACGTTACATGATGGGAGAAGGGTGGTAAGAGGCTCCAGCCCCCATTATTATGGGTTGAGCTGGCTAAGGGTGATGGGAATTATAGTTCAGTTGCTATTGGCCTCCCCTCCTCTTGGAATACAGAGCAATTTAGCTACCCAAATCTTGTTTCAAATCTTCTCTTCTTCCCTCCCCTTCCCATTCCTTTCATTCTACTCCTCTTTACCCTTCTCTACTCTACTCCTGTTCTCTTCTTCAATCTCTTCTCCACTCCCCTCTTCCCTCTCCTCTCTTCTCTCTCTCTCATCACCTTCTCCCTTCCTACCCGTTTCCCCATATTCTGAGCAGACTCCCAAGAAGCTGGATACCAGAGAGTTGACATATCTAGAGTGGTTTTTCTCAGCCTTGGCTACTTTAAGATGAGTGAACTTCATCAATCCCCAGAATTCCCCAAGCCAGGGAATTCCGGGGATAGAAGTCCAGACATCTTAAAGCGGCCAAGATCAAGAAACACCACCCTAAAAACAGAATAACCGAGGATCACCAAGCGTGCTCCTTCAAGCCCATCGGCCAGCTCTGAATTGGTGTGCTTGCTTTTTCATATCTCCTTGGCCCTAGAGAGTATCCAGAAACAACGCGCTTCAATCTTGGCCACTTTTAAGGTGTGCGGACTTCAACTCCCAGAATCCCCCAGCCAGCATGAAACTGAAGTGCCCACATCTTAATGTTGCCACGGGGTTTTTTTTTCCCCAAAGCTTTTTATTTTATTTTGACAACAAACATTGACAAATACAAACATAAAACATCAAATAAAACCATCTTCCCATTGTACAATGTGTCGGTTGGTAGATATCTTTTGTGCACAATATCAACAGTCTTTCCCTTCAAGATGCATTACTAAATATTTGTATTATATAAATTAACTATACATATTATAACTTCTTATTAGACTTTGTTTATAAATTCATGCCATCCTTTTCGAGAAAATCTCAACTTTACAAAACCTAATTCATAATATCATTTTGTTCCATTGAAATCAATTATAGCATATCATTACATTGTCATATCATTTACTATAATGTTGTAAATATTATATTTTATTTTTTAATGTTGCCAAGGTTGAAGCACATGGTTTCTGGTTCCTCTCTAGGGCCGAGGAGGTATTAAAATGCAAGACACATCAATTCAAAGTTGGCCCATGGGCTTGAAGAAGCACTCTTGGTGGTCCTTGGTTATCAGTCTACTTTATTGTCATGGCACCTCGTACAACAAAATCAAATACCATCTTCAGTGTACATCGTGGCTATGAAAATAAAACACAAACACACATCACATTCTAGACAATTGAACGGAAAACCCCTGATATTGCATTAATATTGCACTATACAGCAGAATGCAATAGACTTACTGCCCTGGGATAGAAGCTGTTTCTCAGCCTATTTGTCATTGTTTTTATTATTATCCTATACCGTGTGCCAGATGGTAATAGTTCAAAAAAAGGGTTTCCAGGACGAGATGGATCTTTGAGGATGTTTTGAACTTCCTTAAGGCAGCGGGAGCTCTCAGGCTCTTCCAAAGAGGGGAGATTCTACTTTTATTCTACTTTTAGACTGGTGTTTCTCGACCTTGGCCACTTTAAGATGTGTGGGCTTTGAACGGTTAGGATCCAGGTGGGTTGAAAAGCATTCTGCTTATTTTCTTGTCCCTTCTCTCTCATTGCTTCTCGTAGGCATCGAGGTATCATCTACTCCTACGAGTTCTCCGTGGACCAACTGGTGGCAGAGAGCGTCCTCCCTATCTGCCGTTCCTCGTACAACGAAATGACGGGCTACAACTACAATATTGGCCTTGTGGTCCCCTACGACAACATCTAGGCAGTGCGGGAAGAAGAAGGGAAGGCCAAAAATCATAGGTTGTCCCAAAGGTGCTTTTTCCAAGAGGCAGCTGCGCTTCCTGGTTGTTGCTGTTGCTGTTTTCTCGACTGAGCCGCTTTTTGGATGAGAAGCGAAACGTCTTCAAGGGAAAGAAAAGCCCAGTGGCCTCTTGGAAAAGCACCTTTGGGCAAAGACCAACTGAGCAGGACTCTGGAGAAGGGGAACCCCCCAAGGATGGAGGTCTTGGGAGGGGACTCGGGCTGCCATGCAGGCAGCATCAGAAGGGGGACACATGGAGTCTCCCCAAAGCTCTAATAACATCACTGTAGGAACGAAGAGATGGTGGCCCACAGGAACCACGATAGATAGGCAAGAACCAGGAAGTAATCATAAAGGCTGTAGCCCCCAAATCAGGAGATAGTAACAATGGACAGTAGCCCAAGAATCAGGTGGTAATAATAAGGGCTATAGCGCAAGAACCAGGAGGTGGTAATAATAAAGGCTGTTCTCCACACGTACAGAGACCACACTGGGGGCAGGGGTGTGTGCATTCCTTGCACCTGTTTCAGCACTGCTTTTCTGGAGCAGGCACCAACGCTACCTGCAACATCTGGAGAAGAAGGGACTTCGGGAGTTGTTGTTTTTGTAAATAAAATCTCTTTATTAAACGACGGTCTCAGGACGAGGGGTAGGTGTGCTTGAAAAATGGCTGTCTTAATTGTCAGTGGTGCTTGCTTTGGAAACCTCCAAATTGGGAGAAGATCCAGAGGATGTCCTGCCACAGGTTTCACCACAGGTAAATCGAGCACCTGTGTGTGTAAGCATCCTCCCTCCTCCAGCTCCACTAGCGCGTTGCCTGGTCACACCTGGGCTGGCGAGGCAGGGCCCTCTTCCTCTTAACCGTGTTGCCTAAGGGTGCTGGAAGTTGTAGTACACCTCTAACTTGGTGTGGCACGCAGGGTTCTCTTTTGCCTGATCTGGTCTCTCCATGCCAACTCCTGCCGGCTGGGTCAAATAACAGGGTGTCAGTCTTTGGAGGTCTCTCCGCTGGGTGGGTGAGGGCCAGGGATGGGATTCAAATTTTTTTTAACAACCGGTTCTGTGGGCATAGCTTGGTGGGCGTGGCTTGGTGATCATGTGGCTGGGTGGACGTGTTATTGGCTGGGCGTGGCCAACTCAATATCACTCACATCAAGGCACGCCTCTCCTCGCCTGGCCTCTCATGACTGGGGATGCTGCAACAGTCGTAAGTGTGAAAAATGGCCATAAGTCACTTTTTTCAGTGCCATTGTAACTTTGAGTGGTCCCTCCACACAAGCAAAGTACCAGCAAAGGAGGGGAAAAAAACTCCAGAGAAGTTCCTGAGACAGGAAGTCTAGTCCTGCCAAGAATGTAATAAGGGTTAATGGAGAGGCAGTTTCTGTAAGCAACCCCAGAATGTTTCCTTCCTGCCTTCCTTACAGGATTAGGCCAGTAATTTCTTCTAACAACTGGTTCTCCGAACTGCTTAGAATGTTAACAACAGATTCTAGCAAATAGGTGCGAACTGGTAGAATCCCACCCCTGGCGAGAGCAGCTGCCAAACCAGCAGGGAGGGCACTATAGGTACTCCTGTCCTCGGCCTCTGCAGCATGCGCTGAAGATGATGGGACCGGGTGGCCAGAGATAACTGGAAAAGGGATGGGCAGGACCTCGGCACCTGAGAGTTTCCAGTCCTTGTGCCATCTGGGAAAGAGCGGCTGGCATATATAATGGGCACAGGGGCCTTCCCTGGTCAGCTGTCCATGTTTCCATGTTGAGCTAATTCCAACAGTTTCCCCAAAGGAACCTTTTCCAGAATAGGAAGATGCTTTTGGTGTGCTGGAGGTGACTGATGCCCCCATGAAGACTCTTCCTTTTCTAGGAACTTCCTTCTCAAAAACTCTTTACCGTAGAGTAATTCCGGGAGTTGAAAGCCGCGCGTCTTAATCGGCAAGTTTGAAAAAGACTGCTCTAAGGGTTACCAGCTCTGGGCTGTAAAAACATGGTAGGCCACTAGAGGGCCCAAAAAAATAAAGTTTAGCTGCCCTCTAGTGGCTTTCTTCTTCCTTTGCAGCCCAGAACTTGTAACTTTAGTGTGTGATATACACACCTTAATATATGGTAATATGTAGATGTATAAACATATTGCCATATATTAGGGAATATACCTCTTATTACTGTATGTGTCTGTGTACATTAACACAGATACATACAGTCACCTAAGCTAAGATCTATTGGGGATTTCCTAATAGATGTGAGCCTATATTACTCTGTGTGTCTTAATACAGGCACATAGAGTAATATAGGCTGAGATCTATTAGGAAGAAGGCCCCGATACACCTTTGCCTAGGTGGCTGTATGTATCTTGTGATAATGTACACAGACACACACAGTAATAGAGGTATGTCTTAACCTATGGCAATGTCCCAGACACTGTGAGTTGACTATAATGGAATGTGTGTGCGTGGGGTAGGTGCTTATGTTTTGGGGTGGGTTTTTTTTTTGTTTGTTCGCTGTCTCGCTTCTCATCCAAGAAGCTTCTTCAGTTCTGATTGAATGGTGGGGGATGGAAGGATTTATATTCTTCGCACTCATCTGGTCATTGGCGCTCCAAAGATCGGCCGTTAGCTCTCTTGAGTGTCATCGAAGCCACTTGGGGGGTTTATCTGTATTCTTGGGGTCACCTAAATTGTGGTGCAAAGGGCTGTGCTGGAGACGGGTGGCATCGTAACCCTTTCTGTTGAAAGAGCTGTCAGTTTTAACACAGATGACCTCTTCGGGGGCCCCTTTCTGTCCAGAATGTGGACGTTGCTGTCTTGAGAAGAGCAACCTTCGTCTTTCCAACTTGGCTGGGCTGCTGTCCCAAAAGGTGCTTTTTTTCCTTTGTTGAAGAGGTTTCGCTTTTCATCCAAGCAGCTTCTTCACCTGAAGTGATGAACTAAAGAAGCATCTTGGAGGAGAAGTGAAACGTCTTCAAAGAAAAACCAGAAAGTCCAGTTGCCCCTTTGGGGCGGGGGGAGCATATTTGGGACAACTGTGACCCGGAGGACTGAGAATCCTCCAAGGATTCCAACCTTGGCCACTTTAAGCCTGGGGGGCTTCAACTCCCAGAATTCCCAGAGTTAAAGCCCCCCCCCCCAGGCTTAAAGTGACCATAGTTGGAGAGCCCTGCTCTACACTACAAGGCTCAAGGTATACACACACACACACACACACGGTGGAGCTCTCGCCTCACAATGAGGAGGCTGTGAATTCAATCCTAGGTAGAGGCTAATATTTGGAATAGATTCTCGTGCTCGAGCAGGGGGTTGGACTAGATGACCTCCAAGGTCCCTTCCAACTCTTGTTATTCTATGAGATATATACGCATATTATGACGGTTGCAATTGTCCTGGAATTATGTGGTCGTGTTTTCTGACCCGAGAAGCAAAGTCAATGGGGAAGCCAGGTTCAATTAAGAACCACGTTACTAACTCAACACCTGCAGTGATTCACTTAAGAAAGAGCTCTAACTTGGGCCAACCTCGCTTGTAACCAAATGCCTCACTGACGAACAGTTGGACTCCCTTGTGGTCGTTCAGTCAAGGACTACCTGTAATATATTTGCCCCCAAAGCTGACTTACCGTGGGCAGAGCTAGCACCCCCCTTCTGACTTGGAATAAGGGGTCCTGTTAGTGTTTGTGGGGGCTGATCTCAGCCCAGGAAGCTAGAAGTAAAACACAGCTGCACACATATAGCCAGCACTACAACAATTGCATCAGAACCGAGGTCCTTTTTCTGGAGGCCAGGTGGTTGGTCTTCAAGGTGGCAATCCACGTGGCTGGTCCAGATGGGTCTGGCCGTCATGGATCCGTGGCAGCTGCTCCATCAGGCACGTGGCCCTCCCACCCACCTCCAAAGCCTCCCACCACCTGGTTGCAGCTACTCCGCCGCCGTCAGTAGCAGAGCGCCATGGGTTCCAGCGTGAGGAAGCGAACGTGCATCTTGGTCTCTATGTCGATGCCTTCCCATATCTGGCATTGAAAGAAGCAGGGGAAGAACCCAGAGTTAGTAGAGGAGGAGACAATCTCCGATCCTGCAATCGTTTTAAATTGTGCTTCAAAAAAGGAGCAAAGGTTGCAATCCAAAGGTTATGCATGGACTTCCCTATCTCCGCTTGGTCCTGTTTGAGGCACCCAAAGTCTTCGGTTGTGAACCTGTTGTCCATCTCCCTTAAGGATCTTCTCCGCTTTCCTTTCATCCATTTACTTAATCCTACCCACCCCTTGTAAAGTTCGTAGGGAGAGAAACTCAACCCGTATAGCAGTTTTTGCAAGATGGCTAACGGAGGACTTCCAACCCTAATCCACCACCTCTTCCCCTACGCTGATTATTTGGGAGACTTTGTGTTGGGAAAAACAAAACAAAAAACCATGACTGGAGATTATTTCTGTGAATTTGGAAATGAGTATTTTTTGAAAACAAATTGCAAGGGGTTTGCTTGGTAGAGCTGAGTAGAGATACGTCCCTAAGGGCAGGAGGCCAGCCTCCTCTTTCTATCTAAGCCGATAAAAATGCAAAAAAAAAAAAAAGATTGAGTCACCTTCAGGAAATCATCAAATGTGATCCCTTCGTAGACTTGGTCCGGCTCCTAAGATTAGGAAGGAAAAGAGATTCATTTCAGGAAAGAAGAATAAAAAGGAAATAATCAGAAGAAGTCGAAAAGGAAATACACCCTCTTAACATTCAGGAAATTCCAAAGATGAAATCTGAATTCAAACAAGGGATATCTTCATTAGGTCTGACCCTAAGGGATATAAGATATAAGAATCACATTGGCGCAACATTGGGGTAGGAAAACTGTAGGATTTGAACACTAAAAATGAAAGAATATACAGCAATGGAAATTCTGACTAAATACTGTATATGTACAGCAGAAGTCTAACCAAATTCACACAAGTGGTTTCATTATGTGCAACACATCACACAGTAAGGCAAGCTAAAATGTGGTTTATGATGAAAAAGAAACCGTGTATAATAATTAAAATGATGCAAACAGAAATGTCCAAAGTATAAAAATATTTAACAATCAGT